CAGGAATAACAACTAAAAGTGACTATTGATACCAGGAATGCAGCCATTGCTGATATAACTCCTTTTCCCCTTTTAACACGTTTTTGGGAACCACACAGAAGGGTTTGAAAGGCCCTTGAAATATTAGCAGAGCTAATATCAGTAGGCATTTGTAATGGGATCTTGGAAGACAAGAAGGTTCATAGAAGTATGGCCAGTGATCACAAAGTTTCAGAAGAGAATAGGGACTTCATAAAAATTAGCATAATGTTCATTCATGTGATTATATTGGGAAAGTATCTGATTTCATTCTGCTGTCATTCTAAGAAGTTCAGTGAAGTGTCATTTGAATATAGCGAATAATTTTTTTTGGCAGAAGAAATTATGGCTTGAGACCTTAAGGCTGGTACAAGAAAGCAACCTTAATTGTTAAAGAGATAGGCACCATCAAAACGAAACTCTCTATGATAAACTGAGACAATAGGAAAGGTATGTTGAGGACAAAAATCCCAGTCATTAGAGGTTTCCATCTTGTGAAGATCCAAATTCATTTAAAGGAAGAAAGTCTAAACTGAAGGGGTTCCTTTCTTCTCAAAGGCGACTGCATAAGGTCAGCACACAGAAGCTGTAGCCAAAAGGATCTAGCCTACAACTCAAATGGATAGCAGAACTTGGCAACAACATCTACAGGGTTTTGATTTTACAGAAATTAGAAGATAATTGAAGGGATCATGGAGTCTTGCTCCACAGTTTCAGAGCATAAATGAAGCTATGTAACGTGGGACAGTATTGAAATTCCTCCAAGTAGTCTCTGAACCATTGCATGCTGCTAAGAAGGCGAACCCTAAGTCACAATGGACACTTCTGGATACTATGGCAGGACCATGGGGTGGATGTCTGCTGAGGAAAGCTGGGGAATGGAGTATAACCACCCTAAAAGAAAAGCTCTTTTCTGCAAGTAGCATATCTAGAAGGTGGAGTTGTTTAAGGTCTCTGTATCCCATCCAATTTCATCATAAGCTCCAGGTGCTTGGCATGGAGCTATGGGTTTTCATATTTGTAATGCTGAATTTTCTTGTTGTTCCCTTATTCAGTATAATTTCATGTTGGAGGAATGTGACTTTTTATTTCATAGAAACTATAGCTAATAGATTATTTGTGTCTCAGATGAGATGTCAAATTTGGACTTTTAAACTGTTGTAATTGTTAAAAGACTGGAAACTTTTGAAGTTGTGTTGTATTTTGTATTATGAGATGAACATGGGGTGAACATGAGAAAAGCAGTGGTACAAGGTGTAGAAGGTTATGATTTAAAACTTTCTAGATTTATTTTATTTTATGTGTATGCATGTGTATAATTGCATGTGTGATGCTTGTGGAGGCCAGAAGTGAGTTTTGAATACCTTGGAAATGTATTTACAAATAGTTGTGAACCACTAAGTGTGAGCTAGGAGCTGAATTGGGTCCTCTGCAAGAGTAACAAGTGTTCTTAACCACTGAGCCATTTCTCTAATACAACGATGGAAGGTTATAATCTAAAGTGCTGTGTTTGGATGTCAAGTTGACTGGAGATAGAACTGACAGCTAATATTAGTTGTCAACTTCATGAAATCTGTAATCAGCTGGAAGTTGGGCCTCTGGACCTGTCTGTGGGAGAGATGACCTTTCTTATGATAATTAAAGTGGGAAGATACACCCACTTGCATAATTGCAAGGATCCTGGACAGTATAAAAAGAATAAAGTGAGATGGTCACAAATACTCATTTCTCTCTTCTTAATTGTGGATGCAATGTGTCCAGATGTCTGGACACAAATCCCTGCTTTTTGATTTCCTTTCTATGATGGAACTTCAACCTATGAGTCAGAATAAACCTTTTTTCCCTTTTATTGCTTTTGTTGGGAGTATTTTTTCACAGCAAGAAAAGCAACCAAGATAGTTATTCATCCTTTTTGAAAATATGATTCAAATCTTGTTTGTATTGATTCAAAAACATGATTCACATCAGTTACCTCATGTTGAGAAGCTATTGACTTGTGTGGAATTGACTTAGTGGAATTCGTTGGTATGCTTCTTTCCCCTTTTTATTATATTTTACTTATCTGCTAGTGTGTACAGTTACTCGAATTTCTAGTTTTTCCTCCTTTCCCCACTGTTTTTAGCTTTTTATATAATTTAAGTAGTCTTCACTTCGGTTTGTGTTCAGGGATAAAACCAACCACAGTAACAAATACATTGATGTGACAGCAATCCCAATATTAGCTATAGTACAAGATACTGTTTTCTTAAACTATGTTCCCTCTGAGACTTGGAGATAGGGGAACATGATACTGGTTGGGAAATTGTAATTTATAGTGTTTTTATTTGATTGCCTGTTTGTTCTTAGGACTAAGATTATCACTATAAATTGTGAAATTCTCCCACATCATGAGCTTTGGTAAGCTTAAATATGTCCATATCATCATTGACACTTAGTCCAAATTTGGCTATGCACAGGCTCTCTCAGGGGAAAAAGCAGCCTATCCCATTTAGGCCACTAAAACTGCTATGCTGGTTATGGGAGTGCCATGGGACTGAATGGCCTAGCTTACATCTCTGCTCAATTTAATTTGTTCATGGATTCTGGAGGGATTAAACACTTCACCAGCATCCCCTATAATCCACAGGGTCAAGCCATAGTGGAGAGAGCTAACAGAACCCTCAAATAATTGATCCTCAAACAAAGATCTGTTATGATGCTCCAGGACCCCCATTTGAAACTGTTAGAGGCACTTTTTTTCTTTTTCTTTTTTTTATTTCTTTTTATTATTATTATTATTATTATTATTATTATTAATTACACTTTATTCATTTTGTATCCCCCCATAAGCCCCTCCCTCCTCCCCTCCCGATCCCACCCTTCCTCCCCTTTCTGCATGCATGCCCCTCCCCAAGTCCACTGAAAGGGGAGGTCCTCCTCTCCTTCCTTCTGATCTTAGTCTATCAGATCACATCAGGAATGGCTGCATTGTACAATCGACTTTTTCATCTTTGATAGAACTGGGGCTTCCCCCACATACAAACATTGGAGGTCCCATCCTGCCATGACTGCCCTTTCCGTGGTCCACTGGAGTGACCCTCTCACCAGTGCCAAGCAGGGAGCATACCCTCTCCTTATACAGGATTGAGGGTTTGCTTGTGTCTTTCCAGAGACATCATAGACACCCATCTGGATTCTGGCTCGCAATGTGATTGCTTCTGGAAGGAGGGGAATGTCCCGCTAGAGGAATCATAAAGGTGGACGACTAATCAGGCTCTCCTTTATGTGGCTGCATACCAACAGTCTCAGCACCGACCTCGGGATGTTACACATGACTTCTCTGCTCTTTCCCACCACACCACCTTCCCTCTAGTAGAACCAATTATCCAACTTACATCCCTACAGACAAATAAGGGCCTGCCCTTAAAAAACTTCCTCTGTGACAGAGTGACCCTTGAGGAGGACTCATGAGGAAGATGGATAGCCAATGATGAGTAAGACTCCAAGAATTGGGGCAACCTAAGACAGGCACCGTTGCTTGAGGTGAGTGCCAGAGGCTTGGGGCCAACAATGGCAGGCCAAAGGATCCTGTCTCGCAAGGCCACGATAAATAAAAAGAAAAGGATGATATGTGGGCAACCCCAGGAAAGGGCCATTAGGGTTCATGGCCTGGGGCAGCTTCCGCTGACATGACTATGGAAGCAGTCTAGCTGACAGTATGTGATCCGACATTGGAGAGTCTGCCCAGAGACAAACAAACAATTGGCAGGCTTGGAGACGGTGTGGAGGAACCTGATTGGTTGCCCAAAGCTATATACCTTGCTCTCCTGGAATAAACAAGTCTGCAGCCACTTGTTCTCAGACTGTACTCACCTGACTCCTCGCCTCTCACCCCCTTGGCCAGGACTCCCTGTCCTTACCCACGGGATGGACTCTTGGGAGGAGAAACAATGGTTGCCATGGAGGTGAACCAGTTATTTGGGATTCTAGAACAATGCTGTTGTGGATGTGCCACGTTTTCATAGTGCATTCAATCATGCATTTCTTTCTTTTTTCTCCTTTACTCTCTCCCTCTCTCATTCTTTCTCTTTCCTTTACTCTTCCATCTCAGAACTCTTTCCTTATTTTCCCTTCCTTCCTCTCCTTTCTTCTTTGTTTCTTTCCTCTCCTCCATCTATTTTCCTCACTCCATCAATTCCTTTTCCTTCCTTCCTTTCTTTCTTCCCTTCCTTTCTTCCACCCCCTCTCATTTTATGACCTTACAATCTATTCTGACTAACCTGGAACTCACCACATACTCCAGACTGGACTTGTGGCAATCCTGCCTTACCTCTAAAATGTTGGGATTATAGTCATGAGCAACTATATCTTACTCTATCTACTACAGTTTTTTTTCTAAAGTCTGTATTGTATATTGTCTAAAAATGTGAATGAAGAGCTACAGAGATATTTCCACGTGTAATGGTGCATGCCACCAAGCCTGATGATTTCAGTTTCGTTCTGGAACTCACATGGTAGAAACTGTTCAACATCAATGATGTTAACACAAACAGTGCAGTGTAAAAAAAATGTTGTCAAAGAAATAAAAAGAAACCTACCTGAAGCTATAGACTTCTGAGATTATTTTGTAAACTAATTAAAATAATATTCTAATAAGAATTTTACTTGAAAGTATATTTCTTATACTCAAACTTAGCTTGACACCATTCTCTTAACAGTCAAAGAAATAAAAATCTGTATTTGCCCACCTATCAGACCAGTGTTAATTACATTAACTAGGACACCAAACTGTAGTGAGGAATTACCGCCATATTTTTTATACTTTTCCTGTATGCATTATTCTTCTATTTGTAGAGAAGAATTCATACTTCAAAATAAGGATTTTTATACATAATTTTTGAATTATGACATGAATATACTTGTTTACACTTTTAAAGAATAGAAAATATTAGCTTTCTATGTTGACTGCTGTTGATCAATATTTAAGTAGTGTTATTACTTACAGTAGTTGCTTCTTGGCAGTAGCCATACCAAATCACAGGGAAGTTGCTCTTCAAACCCTTAACACGTTTTGCACAAATCAGAGCACTCACACTTTTGTATGCTGTAAGAAAACATAAGGCTCTGATTCTGAAAACTGTCAACAATAAAGTTGGAGGCTGGCAAATTTTGTGATAACATTATCTATATGCTATAGTTTGAACAGAGATAAAACAATATATTCGAAAATAAACATTGTTATTGTTTTCCCTTCTATCACATAGCCTATTTAGTGTATATACAGGCCCCTGTCTTCAACTAGTCTTGATATTTTGGTTATCTAGCTATTGCTTTGGCTGCATCCAGAGTTTTTAGTATATGCTGATATTGCTAGCTGGGGCTATATTAAGACAACTGAACTGAGCTCAACTATGCAAACAGTAGGGAATGCAGTAGCGGAGAGCTTGTGTTTTCCCAATCTTCATTATTGAGTATGGGTATGCTTCTGTGTGTTGGCAGAATAGTCCATTTAAAAATTAGCCATCTTGAATAGCTCTTTAAGCAAGTTTATCTTTTAATTCATTCATATTAATGAACTCTGCTCTAAGCATGAAATGCTCTAATTCTACAATAAAAAATTAGTATAACTGATTATCAGTAAGTATTACAACAGTAAATCATTTCTAGTTGTTTGTTGATGAATATGCAAGGAATTAAAATTATTTTCCCTATAAGCCTTTTCCACCTTTATTCTTTTTCCTTTACTAGCCAGATTAGATTACATGAACAAATTTAAAAAAATATTGAAAAACACACATGACAATATTTTATAAAATGATTGTTGTTTCCTAGGTCTCAAGAAAAATTTAAGTGATTCTTTTATGACCTAAATTGATCAAACTATATTTACTCATTTTTGAAGAGAACTGAGTATCTCTAGTTACTGTTTCCTGTTCTCAAATTTTTTTATCTAGCAATAATACAACTGTATTCAGTATTACATAGGAGTGCAGACATGATTATCTACTATACTTATTACTATGAAATTATTAGTGAACAGGTCAGGCGTTTATTTGTTCTTTCAATTATGTAGCATTTCAGAAAGTAGTAAGCATATAAGAAGATGATATACCTATAAAATACTCATTTCCAAATATAACAAGCCAGTTTTCTCTCAAAAGGATGATATAATTTATAATTTGCTTGTATGTGTTAGTTTTAGCCAAGTTTTAGAAATAAAAATATTTTGATACTATTAAATAATTCTTTAATAAATATTTGAAAAGTAAAAGTTTTGTATTTGATAAATACAGTATAGAAAAACTTTTGGTAATCTTGAGATTATATAATGTCTGAAAAGCTGTGATAACAATAAATTTATTTTTAAACCATGTTTCCCCTCCTTTTTTTTTTTTTCTTTTTCGAGACAGGGTTTCTCTCTGTAGCCCTTGCTGTCCTGGAACTCGTTCTGTAGATCAGGCTGGCTTCGAACTAAGAGATTCGTCCCTCTGTGTCTCCCAATGCCGGGATTAAAGGTGTGCCCTAACATTGTCTGGCTTATTTCTGCATTTTTCTATTATTATTATTATGCATTTTTCTATTATTGTTATTATTACTACTGCTACTACTACTACTACAATTTACTCACTTTGTATCCTGGCTGTAGCACCCTCCCTCATCTTCTCCAATCCCACCCTTTCTCCCTCTTTCTCCCCATGTCCCTCCCCTTGTGCCCTGATAAGGGAGGTCCTCTTCCTCTACTATCTGTTTATCAGATCTCATCATGACTATCTGAATCCTCTTCTTCTGTGGTCTAGTAAGGCCATCCTGCCAGAGGGAGGTGATCAAAGAGCAGACAATTGAGTTCATGTCAGAGACTGCCCTTGGTCCCTTACTAGGGAACCCCAAGGAGACTGAGCTATCCATGTGCTACATCTGATCAGAGGGTCTAGGTTCTCTCCATGCATCGTCCTTGATTGATTTATCACTCTCTGCAGGCCACCCTGGGCCCATATATTTTGGGGTTTGTTGGTCTCCTTGTGGGGCTCCTGTCCTCTCCATGTCCTTCTATATCCACCATAAAACTCCCTGTGTTCTATCCAAAGTTTGGTTGTTCTTCCATCCCTTGTTGGGTGGAGTCTTTTAGAGGATATGTGTAGTAGGCTTGCATCCTGTTCACTGTCTTCTACTGCATCCTGTGTGTATAATGTTTTGCCTTCTGAATGTAATTAAGCATCTTCCCCTAGGGTCTTCCTGGTTGTTTAGCTTCTTTAGGTTTGTAGAGTTTAGTATGGTTATCCTATATTATATGGTTAATATGCACTTATAAGTGATTATAATAGTAGGTGTGTCATTCTGCTTCTGGGTTACCTTTTTCAGGATGATCTTTTACACTATTTTTGCATTTTTAATAGCATACATATTTGGATTTTTTGAATAATTACCTGAATTAGCAGCTGCATCTCCAATGGAGGAACCAAATGTTAACTGTAACATCTGACAAAACCAACTGAAAAATAAAAGAGGGGAAAGGCATCAATTAATAGAACAGCTAGTAATTATTGAGTAACTATGATATGTATAAGTAAGAATTGTTGTTATTTTCATTGAAACATTAAAATTCAAAATGACAAAGCCTTCATATCAAATGTAAATGATGACAATAATAATAATGAGGATACAGTTACAATTAGAATTGAAACAAATGAAGATCATGATTCGAGTCAATCACAAAAATTATAAAGCAGCATCTCTCATTATGACATCAAAGAAAGCTGCACCACTAAAAGTAAAACCATCCAAGCTATATTATCAATAAAAAAATGAATTGATGACATGGCAATAATCATATTTGTAGCAAAATTTTCAATATAAATTAGAAGAGGCATGAAGTAAAAATAAGTCATAATTTCTCATTCAGAATATACAAGAATCACAGTATTAAAGTCATGGTAGATAATAGTAACCTAAAAGTATGCAATGAAACTTCAGCAGATTTAGTTAGACAGTATCTGTAAGGGATTTTTGCACGACAAAAGGTATGTGTCTGGATGCCTACACTAACAGAATAAGACGATCACTCATTTTACTTAATTTTCTTAATTAATACATTTTAATTTATTACAATTTATTCATTATGTATCCCAGCTGTACCTCCCTCCCTACCCTCCCAATACTGCCCTCACTACTTCTTCTCCTCCCATGCCCCTCCCACTGATAGGGGAGGTCCTCCTCCCCTTCCATCTGACCCTAGCCTATCAAGTCTCATCAGGACTGGCTGCATTGTCTTCCTCTGTGGCCTAGTAAGGCTGCCCCTGCCTCAGAGGGAGGTGATCAAAGAGCCAGCCACTGAGTTCATGTCAGAGACAGCCCCTGTTTCACTTACTAGGGAACCCACTTGACACTGAACTGCCATGGGCTACATTTGTGCATGGTGTCTATGTCCTCTCCATGGATGTTCCTGGACTGCAGTATCAGTCTTAGAAAAGACCCCTCTGTTCAGAAAGTTGTATCCTGTGCCAATAAGTTTAAGGGTATTCCCCACTTTTTCTTCTAAGTGGTTTAGTGTGTCTGGTTTTATGTTGAGGTCTTTGATCCACTTGGACTTTAGTTTTGTGCAGGGTGATAAGTATGGATCTATTTGCATTTTTCTACATGTAGACTTCCAGTTAGACCAGCACCATTTGTTTAAGATGCTGTCTTTTTTCCATTGAATGGATTTGGCATCTTTGTTAAAAATTAGGTGTCCATAAGTGTGTGGATTTATGTCAGGGTCTTCTATTCGATTCCATTGATCCACCAGTCTGTTACTATGCCAGTACCATGCAGTTTTTAGTATTGTTGCTCTATAGTACACCTTGAGATCACAGATGGAGATAGTTCCTGAAGATCTTTAACTGTAGAGAATTGTTTTAGCAATTCTTGGTTTCTTGTTGTTCCATATGAAGGTAAGAATTTTTCTTTCAAGGTCTGTAAAGAATTGTGTTGGTAATTTGATGGGAATTGCATTGAATCTGTAGATTGCTTTTGGTATACAAGGAAATGTATATAAATCCCATGGCAGGTTGTGAAATTCTATCCTCAGAAGTATTCCTTTCATGCAATTAAGAGGGTAGCAAGGTTTACTACATAGTAACACACTAATAATACAGTGTCTCTCTGCTTGCCATAGATAATTCATTGGATCAAATTACATTATTTTGTAAAGTATTACTACAGAATAAATGTCATAAATTGATTATGAAATTTTTTTTGATGGCAGAAAACCCAAATGCTTTATTTTTATTTTTATTTTTTCCACTTTAATTTTATTAATTACACTTTATTCATTTTGTATCCCCCCATGAGCCCCTCCCTCATCCCCTCCTGACCCCACCCTACCTCCCCTTTCTGCATGCATGCCACTCCCCAAGTCCACTGATAGGGGAGGTTCTCCTCTCTTTTCTGAACTTAGTCTATCAGTTCTCATCAAAAGTGGCTACATTGTCCTCTACCATGGCCTGGTAAGGCTGCTCCCCCTCAGGGGGAGGTGATCAAAGAGCAGGCCAATCAGATTATGTCAGAGGCAGTTCCTCTTTCCATTACTATGTAACCCACTTGGACACTGAACTGCCATGGGCTACATCTGTGCAGGGTTTCTAGGTTATCTCCATGAATAGTCCTTGGTTGGAGTATGAGTCTCTGGGAAGTTCCCTGTGTTCAAATTCTCTTGTTCTGTTGCTCTGCTTGTGGAGTTCCCGTCCCCTCCAGCTCTTACTATTTCCCAATTCTTACATAAAATTCCATTCACTCTGCCGATCAGTTGTCCATCAGGCTTAGCATCTGCTTTGACAGTCTATACTGCAGAGGCTTTCAGAGGCCCTCTGTGGCAGGTTCCAAGGTTGTTTCCTGTTTTCTTCTGGCTTTCAGAGGCCTTCTGTAGCAGGTTCCGAGATTGTTTCCTATTTTCTTTTTCTTCTGAAGTCCATCCTCTTTGCCTTTCAGGATGGGGATTGAACATTTTAGTTAGGGTCCTCTCTTTTGCTTAGTTTGTTTAGATGTACAGATTTTAGTGGGATTATTCTATGTTGTATGTTTATATGAGTGAGTATATACCATGTGTGTCTTTTTGCTTCTGGGACAACTCACTCAGGATGATCCTTTTCAGGTCCCACCATTTACCTGCAAATTTCATGATTTCCTTATTTTTCATTGCTGAGTAATACTCCATTGTATAGATGTACCACAGTTTCTGCATCCATTCTTCAGTTGAGGGGCATCTGGGTTGTTTCCAGCTTCTGGCTATTACAAATAAAGCTGCTACAAACATGGTTGAGCAAATGTCCTTTTTGTGTACTTGAACCTCTTTTGGGTATATGCCTAGGAGTGGTATGGCTGGATCTTGAGGAAGCGCTATTCCTAGTTGTCTGAGAAAGCACCAGATTGATTTCCAGAGTGGTTGTACAAGTTTACATTCCCACCAGCAGTGGAGAAGGGTTCCCCTTTCTCCACAACCTCTCCAGCATGTGTTGTCCCTTGAGTTTTTCATCTTGGCCATTCTGATGGGTGTAAGGTGAAATCTCAGGGTTGTTTTGATTTGCATTTCCCTAATGGCTAATGAGGTTGAGCATTTCTTTAAGTGCTTCTCTGCCATTCGATATTCCTCTACAGAGAATTCTCTCTTTAGCTCTGTTCCCCATTTTTTAAGTGGATTATTTTGTTTGTTGCTTTTCAGCTTGTTTAGTTCTTTATATATATTGGATATGAGTCCTCTGTCAGATAAAGGGTTGGTGATGATTCTTTCCCAATCTGTAGGCAGTCACTTTGTTTTAATGACGGTGTCCTTTGCTTTACAGAAGCTTTTCAATTTCAGGAGGTCCCATTTATTGATTGTTGCTCTTAGAACCTGTGCTGTTGGTGTTCTGTTCAGGAAGTTCTCTCCTGTACCAATGAGTTCTAGGGTATTCCCCACTTTTTTTTCTAGCCGATTTAATGTGTCTGGTTTTATGTTGAGGTCTTTGATCCACTTGGACTTCAGTTTTGTGCAGGGTGATAAGTATGGATCTATTTTCATTTTTCTACATGTAGACATCCAGTTGGACCAGCACCATTTGTTGAAGATGCTATCTTTTTTCCATTGTATGGTTTTGGCATCTTTGTCAAAAATCAGGTGTCCATAAGTGTGTGGGTTTCTTTCTGGGTCTTCTGTTCGATTCCATTAATCCACCATTCTGTTTCTATGCCAGTACCATGCAGTTTTTATAATTGTTGCTCTATAGTACAGCTTGAGATCAGGGATGGAGATACCTCCAGAATATCTTTTATTGTAGAGGATTGTTTTAGCAATTTTCGGTCGCTTGTTATTCCATATGGAGTTGAGAATTTTTCATTCTAGGTCTGTAAAGAATTGTGTTGGTAATTTGATGGGAATTGCATTAAATCTGTAGATTGCTTTTGGTAAGATGGCCATTTTTCTGATGTTAATCCTGCCAAGCCATGAGCATGGGAGATCTTTCCATCTTCTCATATCTTCCTCTAATTCTTTCTTCAGAGACTTGAAATTTTTTTCATACAAGTCTTTGACTTGCTTGGTTAGGGTTACACCAAGGTACTTTATGTCCTTTGTGGCTATTGTGAAGGGTGTTGTTTCTCTAATTTCTTTCTCAGCCCGTTTGTCTTTTGTATACAGGAGTGCTACTGATTTTTTTTAGTTAATTTTGTATCCAGCCACTTTGCTGAAGGTGTTTATCAGCTGAAGGAGTTCCCTGGTAGAGTTTTTGGGGTCACTCATGTATACTATCATATCATCTGCAAATAATGATAATTTGACTTCTTCCTTTCCCATCTGTATCCCCTTGATCTCCTTCGACTGTCTTATTGCTCTAGCAAGGACTTCCAGCACTATGTTGAAGAGATATGGAGAGAGTGGGCAGCCTTGTCTTGTCCCTGATTTCAGTGGGATTGCTTCAAGTTTCTCTCCATTTAGTTTGATGTTGGCTATAGGCTTGCTGTATATCGCCTTTACTATGTTTAGATATGTGCCTTGTATCCCTGATCTCTCCAGTACTTTAAATATGAATGGATGTTGGATTTTGTCAAATGCTTTCTCAGCATCTAGGGAGATTATCATGCGTTTTTTTTTTCTTTCAGTTTGTTAATATGGTGGATCACATTGATGGATTTCCGTATATAGAACCACCCCTGCATACCTGGGATAAAGCCTACTTGGTCATAGTGGATAATATCTTTGATGTGTTCTTGGATTCGGTTTGCAAGTGCTTTGTTAACTATTTTTGCATCAATGTTCATAAGGGAGATTGGCCTGAAATTCTCTTTCTTTGTTGAGTCTTTGTGAGGTTTAGGTACTAAGGTGATTGTGGCTTCATAGAATGAGTTTGGTAATGTTCCTTCTGTTTCTATTTTGTGGAATAGTTTGAAGAGAATTGGAGTTAGCTCTTCTTTGAAGGTCTGGTAGAATTCTGCGCTGAAGCCATCTGGTCCTGGGCTTTTTTTGATGGGAGACTTTTGATG